ATCATTTTAAATAATATTAAACAACATTTAACGCAAAAATAAAACATTTATAATTTTTGAACAGAACATAAAAGAAATAACTTAATAAGTAAACAAAATAAAAATTTGGGACATTGATCAAATGTGTTTCTTTCTACATTTCTCTTTTGCAAACTGGTCAATTATTAAATTGCAATCTAATTTTTCGGTATTTGATCCTTCTATGTGGATCAGAGAAAAAGCATCGAGTCTCTATTGGCTAATGGTGGATCTCAAATAAGTTTTGATTCTTTTTAACGCAGAAAATGAGCATTCCCCGCTAGCATTAGAAACTGGTATAGTAAAATAAATTTCAAGCAACGTAAGCACATTAGGGAAAGTTGATTTTAGTGACTGCACGAGTTCAAATTTTTCAATCATTTCCTTTTTATTCATATTGGCACATATTATTCGAAAATGAGCCATTTCATCATTTAATACATCTCCTTCTACATCCGACTTATATGTATTTTTCAAGATATTGGCAGACTCTTCAAATGCTATGTCATCGATATTGCTGAAAAAACAACTTAAAACGTTCGTTGACAGTGTGATAGCTTTTAATTCGTCTTTCATGATCTTGAATTATGGAGTCACATATTACGTAATGGGCTTCTACCTTAAACTTCTCTTTGCTACTTATGTGAACCTTATTTTCTTTTGATTCGTCGAAAGATGCTTTTCTTTTTCTAGTTAGAGAAATATGATCTTAATAATAATAGTTAGTAGTTCTAATAGGTAGCGTCATCCACTAAAGTCGCTGCTTCAATTTCGATACCGTCAAAGTTTCCACGGAGTGTTTTGACAAATGATACTAGTGACTTCAATAACTCGATGCTAGTAAATATATTTAGTGATGGATCTTGCAAAGCTTTGCTCGTAGCATTGACACTTTCTAAGATTTTAAACCATATGGTAGTCAACAATGCATGTTTTTTTCAATGCGCGAGTTTTGCATTTTCTTTAAAAGTGCAGAGGCTTCATTTCTTCTTATTGGTTTTTCACCTTGGTCATTCGCAATGACAGAAAAATGTTCTATAAGTGCTTTATAATTTAGTTTAAGAGCAGCAACTGCATCAGCCTAGGCTGACCATATAGTACCACTAAGACGTTTAAGAGAAATTTTACACCGACTTAATAGAATAGACAAACGGTGGGTGGATGAGGAAAAGAATACGTATATTTCTTGAACCAAGGAAATGTAATTGGAAGCCTGAAGACAAGATTCACTTGAAAAATTCACTGATAAGTTTAAAGAATGGCTCGCACATGGTATATATACAGCAGTAGGAGATAACAGCTTGATTCTAGCTTGCAGCCCGTTATAATTACCAGACATATTAGCGGCATTGTTATAAGATTACCCACGGCAGTTCTCAATTTTTAAGCCTAAAGCTTCTAGTTTTTTAAAACAACATCTTTAAGATATTCTGCCAGTCTGTTTTTCTATTTTAATAAATCCCAAGAACCTTTCCTCTACTTGTTTACTATGTATGTATCTTAAAATAAAAGTTAATTGATCACAATGGTTAATATCAGGTGTGGAATCCACTATAAGAGAATAATACTTCGCAGATTTAATTTAATTAACAAATAACTCAATTTTAAGATACCACCGAGCAGAACAATAAATTATTATATCTACTAAACCCTGGTCGCTTGATCGTTGATCATGAACATTATATTGTACATAATAAAGAAATTTTAGTTAAAATATTTACTCTACCTTTTTTAAAAGACCATTTATCTATTGACTCCTGTTTCATTTTCATATTTATATTTTTTTATGACTGAAATACGGGCCCCATTGGGGCCCCGGCCCCCAACCGGCCGCTTGTTCCGCTTTATGTATAAACCGGCGCTGATTATACGGAAGAATAAGGAACCTTTATTCATGGGCACTCAGTCAGGCGGCCTCGACGGCCAACGGCTGGGATCTTGGTTAGCTATCCAATTATTCTTGAAATTGGCTGCAAAATTTGCTGATAACTTCAGCGTTCAGGGGCGGTGCGTTGTCTTGCTGGTAAAATATGTTTTTGAGTTCCATTAAGGGCATATCATCAATAAGGGATCCAAAGCCTACTAGTTAAAAGTGGCGAACTTTTAAAAATTCTATATTTCGAAGGGGATGATAACAAAATATCAAGTGTGCTATATTTTTGGAAAGGTAATTTTAAATTATTTTCAGTTAATTAAAAATATAGAGGGTGTCCCAAATAAAAAATCATTTTTTCTGTTGATAACTCTTAAATTACTAATTTAAAAAAAATATATATTTAAACCATTAAATTCTACGTAAAAAGGTGCTTTGGAAATGTTTTCATAGAAATACAAAATTTTCCAGAGCAAAAAAGTTACAGCGATTTGTTAAAAATGCACATTTTTGAAAAACACCCCTTAACTCCGAAACAGTAACAGATATTGATGTGCGGTTTTCACCATCATGTTTTTGATGAAAATTAGCTCCAGACACCGATATTAGTTTTCGTCTATCTCCTATAGAAAAGGGTGTTTCCATTTAAAAGCGTCGAATTTGACCCACCCTGTACAAGCTCATCGGCACCGTAGGGATTTTGGTAGGCGATATCCTTGCAATCTGCATACGTGTCCAACCCATTTTAAGCGGAATTTAGTAATCATGACTTCAACGCTCTCGCCGCTAGCTTTTTCAAGGACTGATACGTTTGAGACATGGTGGAGCCATTTGTTTCTTAAGATTTGTCTAAGCTGTCACTGTTGCAACTTGTTTAATGCGTTCATATGTCGGGGGTACGGTACCCAGTTTTCGCTTCCATATAACATGGTGGGGATGGTTGTAGAAAACCCTGTCTTTTAATTTCCAGAATGCTCTTGAGGCGCTGCTAATCCTGTGCTGAATTTCAAAGCCGATATTGGCCTTTTCCGAAATCAAACTGCCAAGGTAATTGAATTCTGCTACATATATTCCAATAGTTCTTCTCGGATTTTTATAGCATTTGTTGTGATCTTCCGGGGGAGTGCACGTGATTTTAGTTATATCGATGTTCAGCTTAAGGCCCAAAGCCGCGCATGCCCAGGTACATATAATATGTGTTCAACATTTCTTGTAATTGCTGCAACGTTTTTGCAACTAGAGCGCAGTCATCAGCGTATTGAAGTTCTGTGATGAATTTTGTACGTGTTTTTGCCTGAGTCTTTTTATTTGAACAGTATCAATTAAGGTTTAGAGGACATATCAGACTTTACAAAATTACTAGTAGCAGTGTGGTACCTGTATACAACGCTATAAATACGCGATCATGACTCGCTCTTGACTAGTGTTGCACAAGAGTCTTGAAAAAGTCTTGCAAGACCAAGACTCTTGCAAGAAATGCAAGACAAGACTTTCAAAATTTTTTGTCTTGAATTTCAAGACAAGACAAGACTTTAAAATATGCAAGAAATTTCAAGAGTCTTGCAAGATTTCTTGAATTCAAGATTCCTTATTGAAAGTTAGAAATTACACATTTTTTTAAGTGATAATTAGGTCTTTGCGCAAGTTATGCCGGGTTTATACAACATTTACATAGTCATAGTCACAATCATAGTCCATAATCATAAACGTTAAACTATCCAGTTCTTATAAACCTGTTGACATCTACCATGAATTTAGCCTTTAATTATGTTACCCAACTTCACTGATATAAAAATTTTGATTATGAAAAAAATAAAGTCGAGGCAACAAACCGTATATTGGGTAATTGGTATTATACACAAAATTATATTGGTATAATGGTATTATAAAAAAAAAAACTAATCGTAGTTGAAACTAATGGTGGGTTCGTGGAGCACGCTATTTGCGCTATATGGTACTACTTTTCATGCAAAAAATTGCTCCGCGAACAAAAAGTGGTATCAAATAGCGAAAATAGTACACTCTAGCATGGCCTTTCCGTACACCCTGCGTCCAAACTTTTCCAACCAATCTTCCATAATCTCTACTAATATATAAAATCCTTAAGTGACTGACATACTGATCAATCACGATCCTGCTCAAACCACTCAACGTAAGAAGCTCAATTTTGGCATACAGGTTGACTCTAGGGTGTAGAGGTTCGATAAGAAGGGAATTTTCGAAATTCCAGTTCCAAGAGGGTGAAACCACCCCTCAAATATTACAATATTTTTTATTTAAAAAACGGTCAAGTTTCCGAAAAAACGCTTAAACACGTATATTTTATTTTGTTTTTTACATATTTTAAGATTTTGTAAAAATGTATACAGGGGGTTTCGAAAAATCTGGTCATTGATTAATCACGATCCTGCTTAAAGCGCTTGACGTAAAAAGCTGATTTTTGGAAAACAGATTGACTTTAGGGTGTAGAGGTTCGATAAGAAGGGATTTTTCAAAACTTGAATTCTAAGGGGGTGAAACTATCCCTCAAATATTAAAATATTTTTTATTTAAAAACCGGTAAGTTTTTCGGAAAATTATATGTCTGTATATTTTATTTTGTTGTTTTACATATTTTAAGATTTTTTATAAATTTATACAGGGTATTAATGGAAATTCTTGCTTTGCTTTTATCGTCACCATTACAAATGATTAATTCGACGCGAACGAAGTCGCTGGTACACGGTAATTAAAAAATAAAATAAATACCATAAAAAATAAAAGTAACAAACAGGTAACTAAAATATAATAGAACATAATTTACTACGATAAACGACGCTTTCTATGAGATAAAATATAGAAATATTATTAACTTTTTGTTAGAATGTAAAATTTTTTAAGGCAAGAAATTTCAAGAGTCTTGCAAGGCAAGACAAGACTTTGCCATTCAAGAAATCTGCAAGACAAGACTTCAAGACAAATTTCTTGCCTTGAATTTCAAGACAAGGCAAGAAATTGATTTTTAAGACAAGAATTCTAGTCTTGTGCAACACTACTCTTGACCAACTTCTTTTTGTTAAGGTACTCTGTCATACACACTTTACATCGTATTTTATATTTCTGTTTTCAGATCTGAATTTGAAGAGATTAGCATCGAAGAGCACAGCCTAGAATGGATCAAAGACGAATTGGAGGAGGAACCTCCACCACCTTCTATTATCAGACGGAGAATAAAATGTCGCCAATGCTCGTTCGTCGGCGAATCCCGCCAAATGCTCAAAATCCACGAATACGAAGAGCACCAGGCCAGCAGCATTATGCTACGGTACAAATGCAAAAGGTGCGCATTTATTTCCTATGACTACGAAGTAGCTATGGAGCACAAGGGAGGTAGACACGTAGTGGAGAAAGTTGTCGGTTTTAAAATAGATACGGATAAAGACTCCGAAAAACCTAACAATAAAGAAAAGACTTCTAAATCTGTACCGAAGAAGCAATCTACAGTTCAACCAGATTATTCTCAGAACAAATATTTAGTGTGCGGTAAATCTACAGTGAATTTAAATTCGCCTCAAAACCAACGACAATATAGTTGTTTTCACTGCAAATACACAACGGTGAACAAAGCACTTTTATCCAATCACATCGTCATTCATAAGAGATGGAACGACTCGGACGTTTTCGAACATTTCTCTTGTCCGGATCATGAAAAAAACGACTTTGATCAAGACAAATGTGACGGTTGTTTTTACGCTTACCACTTCAACAAAAGTTAGTTTTGAGCTGGTCGCACAGTAGAAGCGTCAAAAGCGCATCTTTGCGCGACCGATCCAAACTACCATACGAACGAAAAAAAAACGGCGTCGAAAAAAAAGACGGCTGGGATAATCTATAATAATTTTAGCGCCCTAGACGTCATTACTTGCGTACTCTTCTTTATTTTTTAATAGCGCTTACTGCCAATTGGCCCTAACATGGTTGTAATTTACAGCGGCGGAGCTTCCATTGATGCGGGTGATGCGTGGCATCCCTTCAAAATATTGTAATACGTTTTTATTTAAAAAAGTCACTGAGATCTCCTATAATAAATTAAAATTCTCAGCAAATTTATTCAATTAATTAAATTCAATTTCAATGATTTAATGTGTGTATTGGCCGAGCTTTATAGATAACGATAAGACCTACGCTAAACGCTAAAAATAAAAATGTCTCGACTGCGCGATGATGCGACTGTCCTCGTTACATCTTACATGAACGAGCCGAGGTCACGATTACACCTCCAGATTTATTTGGTTACTGGGTGATGTTTTAGTCGGTGGGTGATGCGGTTTCTGAAACACATCGCGGTATAAAATAACAATTATCATCGCGCATAGCCGATTCTGAGTATGGCTGTAAAATAGAAATAATTTCGTAATCATTCTTCAGTTTTGCAATCATCACTATGGTGTATTCAGAAAAACTAAATACTATTGAAGAAGGACCTCCAAATGAATTGAATATTATTAATACTAAATTAAAATTGTGTATCCGTCATTTTAATGAAAATGTTTATAAAGCGAACACTCATCGTTATGTGGTTGTAAGGCACTCAATAATAGTATAGTAAACGCCACGAATGTTTGGGAGTGATTTATCGGTCGCTACCATGTGAACATCTGTTCAAGGTAAAAAAATAAAACTTAATTCCAGTGCCGCACAGTGGGCAAAAATCCAGAAGTATGTTGCAAAAATTCTTTTTTTGTACGATTTTATTCAAATTTGGTAAAAACATTCTATGCCCGTAGGCCGTGAACCCTGTTAGTTTTGGCTGACTTGAGAGTGGTTGGGGGTGGTGGAGGGGATTCATAAAATGGAAAAATCATCTTTTGACTAATACAGCTACCAAAATGCGATAAGAATATTTTACATTTCACTAAATTTTACGATTTTTGACAGAGCCAAGATGAAACAGACAAATATTGAGCAATTATTACTCCTCCGCCATATACAGGGTTTGTTTTATATATTGACATCCTCTGTATCTTTTTTATTCGACGTTTTCGAAAAAAGTGTCTTGAATAAAAGTTTAATGGTCTCGAATACATTTTTCAAAACAGTCTTCTTTGCATATACAGGGTGCCTTAGAAATCCTGTGTGTGGCCCAACTTTCTTATTTCAAATTAGTACCCAATTTTTTATTTTATATTTATTTTCTCCTAAAAATCCTAACTACTTTGTAGCATAGCCTATACCTAATTTGAAGTAAGATAGTTGAACCACGCCCCGACTTTTTGAAGCACTTTGTATATGCGAAATATACTTTTTTGGCAAATTTATTCAAAACCACTTTCATTTGAGACAGTTTTCGGAAACGTCAAATAAAAAAGATAAAGGGGGTGTCACAATGTATAAAATAAAACCCTAGTATACTAATCCAATCGAACTTTTATTCAAGATTGTTTGTCATTTGAATAAGTTCGGTCTCTAATAATACCAGACAATATGTGAACAATATTTTATTATTATATTTTAAATAAGTAACAATATTCTGAGAATTAAACAATGACGATTTAGAAAATAACAGAACTTATACCTATTAAAAATATCTAAATTTTATTTTACCACCTACTATTTACTGATATTTTGTTTTATAACAGCTGGAAGCAATGGTCACGAAGTACACATTTTTAAATCTGAAAGAAAAATCCATTTTATTTAATTTAAAAAATTAGGTACTGTCAAAATTTGTCAATTTGTCAAAAAATGTCATTTGACATTTATGACATACTTCTTTGGAAATCTTGAGAAAAGTTACGTAACGTTATATTTCAAGTTCTTCTCTAGCTCTAGCTACTATAACAATTAATTTATGAGAATTATCCACATACAGGATGTTACTATACACATACGCATGGAGACTTACGCTTCCAATAATTTAATGTTGCGATTTTTGCGATTTTTTGACTTAACTTTTCTAAGATAGAATATATGCCACTATCAAAAAAACCTTAAATGATTATGTTCTACTTTGACCTTTACGTAGTTTTATCCAAAAATCAAAATAAAAGATACTTTTTACTTACCTTCACATTAAATTTACCGCAACCGGGAATCTACGTAAAACACGTTATGACAATTTTACAATAATTATTGACAGTAAGCTAAGGTCGTCCGATTCAATTGTTATAATACTGTGTCACTTGAATGCAACGCCTACTATTTAAAATTGTAGAAAAAGGCGGTTATTGGACACAAATTAACTGAAAATGTAGGTTTTGCGCAAAGTTCGTTTTACAGCCCCTCGAAAGAGACTCCGAATATGTTTTTTTGTTAGTTTTATGTGGTTTCCTCTTAACTAATATGTTTTCAATCTAATATTATTGCCATAAATGCTAACTGTGGATGTTATTTTTTGCAACTTGGTTTGGACATATTGCCTACTGTGTGCCGTGGTGTTTCAAGTCATTATAATAATCAATATATAATCTGTTGTAATTTGTTGTTTTAATTGTCAAAGTCTTGTCAAAACATATATTTGGTTATAAATATAAAATGGAATGCCCCGTTGGTTGCACTACAAGCACACCCTTTGAATAAGAAGACTAAGGAAAAAGCATATCAAAAATCTTAGGTACACCGCGATGGGCCTCAAATATGGCCGACTTAAATTCCGGTTTATCAGTGTCGTTCTAATTTTATTTAAAAAATGTAAAACTATGATGTAGGGTAGACGTGGGGTAGACTCAATAATTTGTTGTTTTATTTTACGTTGTGAATAAATGTTGGTAGTTATTAAAATTGTTATAAAAATATATAATTCTAAAAAAATAGATAAGTTATAATAAGTATTTATTACAACAAACATACGATACGCTACTGAAGCAGGTAAGTCAAATTAACGTATCTAAATTCTTTGACATCTAATCTTTGACAAGTAATAAATAAAAGCTAAAATGCAAGAAAAATATATAATTTAGTTAATTTAAGTGAATTTCATAAATGATCGGTTTACTACACGTATGTATATTATATAGTCACTTACTAGCGAAAAGTTGTTCCATTATTTCACTCAATTTTTGCCGAGATCTACCGCCCGCTACACAACCAACTATTTTAGAGTCTTTTTCGATAAATCGCGATAGTGTCACTGTTAATTTAAGTGCTGCCACAATTTCCATCTAGATTTACTACCTTTATACAACTATCAGTAGTAGAATAAATAATAAATAACATAAAATAAGCTCCGTAAAGACTGACAAATCCACAAAATTTCAAATCAATGCTATACATGGATAGCATTATGTTCCTTCCTTAGTCTTCTTATTCAAAGAGCACACCAATGGACTTACGCACAAAAACGAATCAATCAAAGAAACGCGATATAGTATCGTCGTCAAAGGGTAGATAAGATTAGTTTTTTTTTTAAATTGGTTTGATTATTTTTTTAACCTGTTACATTTTTGTATATTTTATTTTTGCAACTTCAAAATTAAAGACTTTAATAAAAAAAAAGAAAAAAACTTTATTGTATTGGTGAAATGTTAATTACAGTTACTTATTACATCCCCTTGTATTGACGCTACGTTACGCCGCTGGTAATTTATTTTTATATTGAGTAAAAATTACTTTTAATGGTGTAGTTTAAAATTCTAGAAAAAATAATTTCTTGGAAATAGATTTGTTAGTCTGGAAACGTTCAATCCTTTATTAATCTTTCTACAATTTAATGTTAATTCTTGACAAGCTTTATGTCAATTTTTAGTAAATGAAGTCTAGAGACTGACCTCGCCAAAATTATCATCGATTGACATTCTCCATTTTTTGACGCCGTTTTTTTTATTTAATATATAATTTTAAAAAACGCACAAATACTACTGGTAGTAAACAAGCTGTGGCAAAAATTTTCTATACTTCGTGTAAACAAAAGACTATCGCAAATGTCTTTCGATTGACGTACATAGCCATCTCTTTATTAACGCAGCGCCGGTAGCTCTCTAAAAGCCTTTTAAGCTAAAACAACGCAATATTTTGAAAAAAGGACTACATTATAACCAGGAGATATCGGCAATGAGAATGTTCTTGTCATTTGATCAAAGTTCAGAATTTATTTTCTGTAAAAATAGCGCTTAAACTAAAACCAAAACTGAACGTGCGCTAAAAACGGCGAGCGTTGTACTGACCATTTTTTTATTTATACTCGTTATTGGTACTAGCATAAACCGATAGACCTAAATTTTGAATATGTTGTAACCATAGACTTAAAATAAAATATAGACTGAGCATCTCATTCATAAATAGCTGGAACATGCGGTCAGACACTGTCTTGTTATTGTTATGTTATTGTTTTAGGTTATAACGAGTGCGACACGAGCGATAGATAGGTTGTCTCTGTCGTAACGGTCGTTCCCTGACGACTCTGCCGAGAAACACAACACTGTCTTTCGTTTCTCAAGTACACCTGAACTCTCCGTATCATAGCCGGGTAATTTTTTTATTTTAATGAAGCTATAATTAAATTAAAAATATATCGTATTTAAACTTTTTTATATTTTATTAAGATTTAGGACAGGTTTTTTAAATAAAAGTTTAGAAAAAACAATTTAGAGTCCAAAAAGGATAAAAATAATAAAACACACGTTATAGAAGAAATTTTATAATCGAAATTACGTAGTTTTTGAAATTAATAATAAATTATTAATTTTAGTCAAACATTTACAACCCCTAATATCTAACAGGATCTATTCCACAGATATAATAGAATCGGCGACAGGGAGAGAAAAAAAATATGAATGTTGTAATTTTTTTTTCTGGTTAAGGGATGTCTTATTATGTAAATTAGAGAAAACATAAATCTGTTCCATTAAAGCAAGGAAGGTGATAGGAAGTGGATAAAATAAAAACTACATTTATTTAACTCGGTACTGTCTTTATTATACCGGGTGCGTCCCAAAAGTGGCTCGTCCCCATAATTTTTTTATATTTTCAAATAAAAAAACAAGATTTAGTATGTTAGTATATGAAATAAATTAGGATTGATTGACGCATTCAATTGTTTTTGGTCACTTCCTGTTTCACCGGAAATGACTATAACTTTTAATTTTTACGGCACCCTCGGTATATTTCTACTTTATTCGATAGAAAATGACACTCTGAATAGAATGACATATCATATGTCAACTTTTGACATTTTTGCATATGATTTAATTGTAATTGTAACACGCGGTTCATAACGACAATTTGACTCGAAATACCAAGTGTGTGGTATCAATATATTCATAAAAAAATGCTTTTTCCAAATATGCTAATGAGTCTCCCTTGTTCCATTTGAAAAAATTGACATATGTATGATTAAAAATACGATTTGTACATCTTTTAACCGGCCTATACAAGACACGAAACCTATTAGACGATCAAAACTATTTTTCCAAGGCTCCTTGATTAAAACTTAGTGTTTTTAACAACACCATGGCACCCTGGATTGAAATTTAAAATACGATTTGTTTTTAAGCGACAATGTCAAAAGTTTGCATATGATATGTCATTCTATTCAGAGTGTCATATTTTATCGAATAAAGTAGCAATATACCGAGGGTGCCTTTAAAAATCAAAAGATGTAATCATTTCGGTGAAAAAGGAAGAGACCAAAAACAATTGAATACGTCAATAAATCCTAATTTATGTCATATACCTACTAACATGCAAATCTGTTTTTTTTTATCTGAAAAAATAAAAAGTTATAGGGGTGAGCCACTTTTGAGACGACCCGGTATATTAAAAAATATTGTTTCATAATGTAATATCATTTTAAAATTCTTGTATGTTATTTTAGATTCTGAAGATAATTTTAGAATAAACCGGAATATATTTTTAATAAAAACATTATTAATTATTAACAGGGTTATAATTATGATTTTGTTACAATGTAAGTAAGTAAATAATGTAATGTAAGAGAAAAAAATCAGATTTTACATTTTACTAAAATATTATC